AGGCGCACTTGACCACTGAGCTTCCTAAGAAATTCTGAAGTGGTTGAGCATCTCCCCCCCACCCCCACTCCTCCCACACTAACCAGCGGCTGCAGTCAGTCTCAATTCTTTAAACCCCTCCCTCACCTTATAATGCTTGTCTAGAGCGGTGCTTCCCAAACTCAGTGGGAAGTACCAGTTGCTTTTTCTTTAATCCCTTGTGAACTGATACTTTTGTAAAATACAATAAAAAGTCATCATGTCAAATAATGTCAAATGTAATAATGTCAAATCGCCACAGAATTTTTGAAACACCCACTCTCACGTTTTATACTTGCCGTACCACAAACTGGTAGCAGCCTGTTCTTGGAGTAGCTCTGGTCCACAGGCTCCGTTTTGAATAACAATGGTCTAGTCTGTCTTACCTTAAAAGACATATGCTAACTATATATTAGTCTTCATTTGCTTGTTCTTTACAGACAGCACTTAATTACATTCACCAACATTTTAAACATTTTTATGCGCCTTGCTGTAACTCGCTGTTACTAGCCACACCTTCCCCTTGGAACCACTTCCCCATCCACATTATTCAGTACACTGCAGACAAAGGGTCTGTGGGTGGTAAACTCTCAACCTATGTGCCTTTAAAACTGTCTCTCTGTCACCTGCACTCTCGACTGAAAGTCCATTAGAAATAGAATTATATATTATCAGTTAACAGAACTTTGAAGATACATTCCTTCTGGCATCTACTGTTGCTGAGAAGTTGGCTGTTGCCCTAATTCATGTAGTGTTCCCTTTTTCTCTGCTAGCTTATAAGATATTCCCTCTAAATTATCCTTAAAGAGCGGCAGTATCTCTCTGAGGCATCTCCGGGAGAACCCTCGCTCAGTTTTAGTGCTCGTTTGGGTTAATTTTGCCCAGAGGAGTCCATCTTTCCATTTCTGTTTCAAGGATGTTTAGTATCTTGCTTTTTTTTCTGTTTTAGCAAGGTAGGTCCTCTTTAAATTTCTCCGATTTCACCAATCATTGCTTTTTGTTTGGAGTAGCAGAGGGTCTTAAAGTATGCACTTATGCTGCCATCCTGACTGGAAACCCTGCTTTCTTAATAAAGAAAAAAAATGCCTTTTTAAGATTCTGCCTCCACGTCAGATGTTCATCTGAAAGCTGGTGCAGGGGCAAGACAAGTAGGACTTACAAATTTATAAAACTCCTTAACTGAAGGACTTTAGAATAAAAGGTACCAATATGACAATCATATATTCAATAAACGTCTTTCGACCATTTGGTCTGGAATCTCAGCTCTGCTACTTTAGTAGCTGTGTAACCTTGGGAAAGTGACTTAACTTCTCTGTGGCAGCTTCCTCTTCTGTACCAGGACAATTCTGAAGTTTAAATAAGGTAAAACACACGAAGCACTTAGCATAGTGCCTGGCACATAGTGCTCACTAAAATTAGCCACTGTTATGATCGCTGGGGGAAACACTCTGCACTCCCAGTGTCCACAGAAAAGAGAACCTCCCACTCCGTCTCCTAAGGAAGACGGTCATAGACCGAGTGTCCAAAGAACACTCCCCGTTTCTCTGAATCCTTCAGGCACTCCTCCCCATGTGGGCAGACAACCTGCCTGACTGTTGGGCTAGGGAGAGGAACCTGAGGCTCGGCTGCCTCAGCTCTTTCTGCCACTCTCCTCCCATCAGGAGCAGCCTGTCTAAAGCACAGGGAAAGTCTGCTTTGGGCACGGAAGATCAGGCTTTGTCCGTATAAGGGGAAGATACCAGTTTTGCTTGTTTTATTTTATTTTTGTGGGGGGAGGTTCAATTTGGAAGGAAGTATATACAAGTTCTTTAGTCGAGGAATTTACCATATTTTGCTGTGCATAATGCACACTTTTTGCCCACATTTTTTAGGGAAAAATAAAGATGCACATCATAGATGGGTAGTCTCAGGATGAGCAGGGCAGGACAAACATGGCGGCTAAACTCTAACCTGGAAAAGATGGCTGATGTCAAACCAGGGCTCGAGGAGAACCACCAATGATATATTGCCGCTTTGTTCAAAGGGGACCAATCCCCAGCCCCCACAAAGAGAGCCAACCAAGATAAAACCCCGCCTTAATCCCTGCACGGCGCGGCTTTCTCGGCCCCATCGTGCAGACCGAGAGCGGGGCGCGCAAACCCCAATAAACTCTATACTGTCTAACTTTGTGGCTGATTGGCATTTATTCCTTGGAGGAGCCTAAGAAACCTTTCAGGTAGTACTAATTCCATATCTATATAAACGTTTTTAAATCTTTTATTTATACTTGTGTGTTAAAAGTGTAACTCTAGAAAGCAATAATGATATCTGTATACAAAATAATACCCTGGAATAGGATAATCAGTTTTGTTTCTAAATATAAATAAATAAATAACCGAATTTAAAAATTAAAGCGGAAGATTTTTTTTCCCTAAAAGTCTGGGCTCAAAACACTGGTGTGCATTACACATAAGAGCGCATTATACACGGCAAAATACGGGTTAGCCACATTTGCCAATTAGTTTTATCAGCAATAAAGCCCATTTGTTCCAAACAAGGAAGAAAACAAAGTGGTAAGTTGTTGGCCTACCCACAACCTCAACTGCCATTCCCTCTACTACAGGGCTCCTGGGGAGATCCAACACAGTGACAGACATAAGGGTCTAAACCAGTGTTTGACACGCAGTAACATTCAATGGGTGCGGTCATTGTGCTAGATGGGGAGTCAGTTACCAGTGGCAGGAGAAACCCGATCCCTCAACAGGGTCAAGGTGCCTGACCCTGTAGAAGGGACACCACAGACAACACCAGCAGCAGTTCCACACCCTCTCAGTAACTCAAACACTTTTACGAAGCAAATACCCAGTCCCAAGCACTATGATAGGTACTTGGAGATCAAAATTACACACAGAAATCTGTCCATAAGATGCTTCCAGACTAGAAAGGAAGAGTTGTAAAGTGGTATACTTTATGTCAAAGGTATACATAAGGTGTTGAAATACAATAGGATCTCAGAAGATGAGGAGGGTGGAAAAATGAAGAAAAGGGTGTCTGTCACAGCTTGAACTGAGTTTTTAAGAAGTCACTGGGAATAGCTTCCATTATGCCAAACCCAATGAGCAATTTTCAATTCTCATCCTAATTAGACTACTCCCTCCCACTGAAACAACAAAAAACAAACAAAAACAAGCAAACAACTACAAACCTCTCCTTCTTTGGCCTGAGAGTCTATGAGAGGCCTCACTCGCTTTTCTATATTTATCACCACTGCTTCTCAGTCACCTTTTCCAGTGCCTCCCGCTCCACTCGGCCTTTAAAAGTTAGAGGTCACCGAGGCGTGGTTACTAGGCCCCTGTCCTTGGTCTGCCCTATCTGTACTCATGACTTCAGTGACTATTTGCCATTGGCCCCCATACTCATATCTCTAATTCACTTATCTTCTCTGAACTCCAGACTCATATATCCAAATGTATCCTTAACATCTACATATGGATGTCTTAAAGTCATTCAAAGCCTGTATAATCAAATCTCAATTCATGATCTGCCTCCACCAAACCTAGTCTTCCTCCAATGTCCCTTGGTCTCTCGGTATCTGGCACCTTTATCCATTCAGTTATTTCACCCAAGCCAGAAAACCAAGTCATCCTTAACACCTCCTTTTCCCTTATACCCTAAATTCAAACTATACCAAGTCCTAATAGCTGTACCCCCTAAATTGTCCTTAATCCATCCTCTCTCTATTCTACCATAACCCTACTGTTCTGAAGTATCAGCACCTCTTACCTGATACACTGCAAGATCCCCCTTACTGTCTTCCCACACATATTCTTGTCTCCGTTACAGTAACACCTTACTGCAGCCAGAGCGAAATTATGAAAACACAAATCTGTACCACTGTCAGGCTAAAAATCCTTCAGCACACTCCACTATTAGGACATAATCCTATAAAAGGTTCTGTATGACGGAGTCCATACCTACCTCCCCAGCCTCACCTAGATCATTCTCCTTCACCACTCTAACCTTCTTTCAGTCCCTACAGCACACGATGCTCCCTTCTACGACAGGGCCCTCCAGCACGTTACCCTCCTCTGCCTGCAGTGATCTCTCATTCCCTCCACGTGGTTCACTTCCCCTGATCCTCGGAACTGTAACCTTAAATGCCAAGACCCCAAGGAGACCTTTCTTGAGCCACTAGAGTAGGTAATAAGGTCATCATGACACGCTTTTATAGCACTGACAATCGTTTGAGTTTATATATTTATTGTTAGGTTCCTTCATGAACGTTTCCCTCTTCCACACACTCCATAACAGGAAAATATACATTTGCTCACCATTTTACCCTCAGCACTTACAACACAGTGGTTGACATTCAGCAGGTGCTCAATAAACAGTTGTCACAACAATGGAGCATTCTAATAAAGGGATCTCAGACAACCAGAACTGTGGAACAGCATGATCACGAAGAGCAAATGATGTAGAGAACATACGGCATTGGTCTGAGATTACTATTAAGCGGAATACAGAGCATGAATCACCTGGCATTGCACCATCAATAGCAGGTACTCAGTAAATATAGATTCTCTTCCCTCTCCTTTTTCTCATCACCTTTAGAAATAAAGATCGCATTAACTGTAATATAAGTTGACACCTCATTTCTTAGTTTTACTGGAAGTTGTAAAAGATATCTGAAACATTTAATACTATTGCATTGCATTTAATCAAAATTCACCATTCTTTCTTAATCCCCAAAGAATTATGTAGAATAAGAAAGAGCAGTTCAGATTTTCTTTGAGGAAAATGAAGATAATTTAGATTTAGAAAAGACAAACTGGAGTGGTTACAAACTAAGTTTTCATTTTTCAGGCATTAACCCTAAGCCACACTAAGCAACAAGTTTGCAATAATACTTAAAACATGGTCCTGTTTACACAGAGCATTTTGCCCTGTAAGTCACGGCATACCCATGCTACACAAAACTCCTAGCACTGGGAAGGTCCTCTTACCTTATGTTCAGATGGAGCACCATAGTAGCCATCATTCAGCCCAAAAATTATTTCATTTTGGTTGCGGGCATGAATCTAAGAGAGGAGGAAAACATACTATTAGTTCTTCTCATTCTAACCAAGTTTCAGTAAGATCAGAGAATGACAGCTGCAACAGGGTACTCCGGTGCTGAGAACCAGGCTGGCTGTACCTAACAAGCCAGCAGAAGACTAATCACTATCATCGGACCAGGTAACCAACTAAGAACATCCTGCTGTAGTCAAAGGCCTCACAAAACCTTCACATGAGATCACAGGCACCACCATTCACATGCATTTTCCACAAACACTTCTTGAGGTTGTTATGGAAAGACTACTCCCAAAGCACAAGGATTTGGAAGCTTTCTCTTATCCCAAAGAAAACACAATCCAGTTAGTCTATAAGAATACCTTAAAAAACATGAATCCCTAGGGAAAAAAATAAGACTAATATTTTTTATTTTCAAAGAGACAGTTTAAAGATAATATCTAATCCCTAAAATCTTTAAATGTCTGCTTAATTTTTGTCCGCATGCCATTCCCTTCCACATGCAACTGGTTTGCGTTTCAGTCAGGGCCAGCTCAAATTAAACTTCACCTGAGAAGTAAGAAGATTAAAAGTTTAAACTGAAGAACTAAGATAAAAACTAACTCAAAACAGTATAAAATATCCAATTGGGAAACATGAAAATAGATTTAGTTACTTGATCAGGAAAAGCTGTGGCTAAAAACAATTTTTAATTGCTTTGGCAGTGAAGCGTTAACCCAGGGTTCAAGGAGGGAAAGACAAAAAGAATTACCAGAATAGAATATTCAATCTCTTCTTCCTCTAGCTACAGATGGAGTAGCCAAAGTCAGCAGCAGAAAATTCCTGTGAACATTTAGCGAACCTCTACATCTCCTACCTCTATTACTAAAGCAAGTTAATCACACGTTCCCTGTTTACCCACATGATTTACTTAACTAAATACACCACCACCAAAAGATTAGTCTATAATAATAAATGTATAATAAAACTATAAACCTATCTCAAGAAGTATTTCATGTTATGAGAGAAAAGAGAAAGTATTAGAAAGATTAGAAGGGACTTGAAATTTTACAAGCATAAAATATTGTATACGCATATACAGCTAAGGGGATAGAAGATTAAAATCATATGAATCTAAATGTTAACAATGGTTGTAGCTGAGCAGAAGGATAATACATAATTTTTTATTCTCTTCTCGGTGCTTTTCAAAAATTTCCAAAGTGTCCACACAGAACATGTATTACTTTTAAAATTGTAAGAAAATAGACCAGTTGGAGGGAGCCAGGGGGCGGGAACCTAACAGCAAGGGCAAATTTAATATGAAGGTCAAGTTCTCATGACATAAGCTTCATGAAGACGGTATGGAATTAGCTTGCTGAAAAATAAGGGACGACTTGGTTCTAGTACTTGAAAAGATAGTGGGCTTAAAAAAAAAAATCACCCTGGCTGGTGTGGCTCAGGTGGTTAGGCATCATCCCACAAACCCAAAGTTCGCTGGTTTGATTCTTGGGCACAGCACAGGCCTGGGCTGCTTATTTGGTCTGGTCGGGGTGCACATGAAAGGCAGCAGATTGATGTTTCTCTCCCTCCCTTCCCCTCTCTCTAAAATCAATAAGCATGTCCTTGGGTAAGGATATAAATAATTTTTTAAAGATTTTATTTGTTTATTTTTTTTAGAGAGAGGGGAAGAGAGAGAGAAAAAGAGAAAGAGAGAGAGAAACATCAATGTGTGGTTGCCCCTCACATGTCCCCCCAATGGAGACCTGGCCGGCAACCCAGGCATGTACCCTGACTGGGAATTGAACTCGTGACCCTTTGCTTCCCAGTCCGGAGTTCAAGCCACTGAGCCATACCAGCCAGGGCATTAATTTTTTAAAAATCAAGTGATCTGGGTTCTATTTCCAACTTCAACTCTGATTTATTTATCTTTATAGTCCTAGTGCCCAGCACTCTACCCGACTTCTAGTAGTTAATCAGTGTTAGTGGTGTATTCTTTAATTCCTTATCAGCCAACGGCAGAAAATGCTCCTCGCTGCATATTATGGAGCTGTCCTAAACATTAAAAGAGATCATTAAAAATGAAAGTACTTTTCAGAAGTTAGACATGAATAATGTTGGGAGAGAAAATCTAATAATGTATCAAAATCAGGCAATCATAAAGCTCAAAAAGATCCCTTTGTTCTTGAACTAATAAAAAGAAAAGAATGCTTAATAAACAGGCTGCACAAAATTCCACACGGCTATGTAAACTTCAGCACTGTTAAATTATGTTACTAAGAAATATAGATATACTACACTAAATGATAGTATATGAGTATGATCCTTTAATCATTAATTATAGGTCAGTGACCCAACAATTGTGTTAGAATATTAATACAGAGATTACAGAATACAGAGCTCTATTAATCTAAACACAACCTAATACTTGGATCTCTTTATGAAAAGACAACTGACTAGAGCTAATGAAATGAATAATAAACATGGTCTGAGCAATGATTCAGCAATAGCCTATGCCCCCCAAACTCTGTGACCTTTAGCAAATCACTTAATCTCTCTAGGCTTCTGTGTTCTCACTTTGAGTAAAATAACAAAACTTGCTCACAAAGGGCTCAGGTCATTGTGTGCATGTAAAAGGGTTGTATAAATATAAAAAGATACCCAAACCATTAAAAGGTATACAATTACTATTGCTATCGATACAAAGTTCTAGCCACTTAAACTAAGCACAAGAAGCCCACAATTACAAAAGGCCCAGTAAGTAGTTCAACAAACGCTCCAAATTTCCACCTTGAACAGATCTATTTTCAAACTCCTTTGTCTCTTTGTCATCAAAATCCAAGCCAAGACCAATTTAGTTCATGACTTCTGGGTAAAACATCCTGATTCACTCCATTTCCTCTAAAGACTAGTCAGGAAATGGGTTACAGCTACAGCTCTGGCACAAAGCAGTCTGTGACTTTGGACAAGTCGCATCATCATTCTCGGCCTAGTTCCCTCAACTAAAAATGAATGAACTGGATTATGATCTTACTTATGTGCCTATCCACACCTTTTCTCTTTTGGCTAATTCCAATACATCATTCAAAATTCATTAGGACTATCGACCAAGTTAGTCCACTTAACATTTGTAAAACATTCCATTCAATGACGGCAGAATACACATCACATGTACGTGAAACATTCATTCACCAAGATAGATAATATCTTCTGGGATAAAATAAATCTCAAAAAAGTTCAAAGGACTGCTATCGTACAAACTATTTTCTCTAAACTCAACAGAACTGAAGTACAAATCAACAAAACAAGGATGTCTGGAAAATCTACAAATGTTTGAAAATTAAACAACATACATCTAAATAACCCTTAGGTCAAGAAGAAATAAAAGGGAAATTTTTAAATATTCTTAATTAAATAAAATCAAAATAAAATATCGAAATTTGTGGGTCACAGCTAAAGCAATGCTTAGAGAAAAATTTACTGAATGCTTCTTTTAGACAAGAGAAGTTTCAAATCAGTAATCTAGGATGCTGCCTTAAAAAACTAGCAAAGAACAATAAATTAAACCCAAAGCAAGCAAAAGCAAAAAATTAATAAGGACAAAAGCAGAAATCAGTGGGACTGAAAACAATAACAATAAAGATATTCAATGAGACAAGACACAATTTTTTGAAAAAATAGTAAAATTGGTAAATCTCTACTCCTAATGATTTTAAGAGAGAAACCATGAAAAGCAACAATAAAAAAAGGAAAGCATCACCATGTCCTACATACATGAAATGGATACAGTAATATTGTGGCAATTTTTATAGCAATAAACTTGAAATCTCAGGTAAAATCAACAAATTCTTGAGGACTTCCGGCAAGATGGAGGAATAGGTGGACACACCATACCTCCACACACAACCAAGATTAGAACAACAATTTAGAGCCAGAATAACACCCAGAACTGATAGAGGATTTATCTGAATAGAAGTCGGACAGCCAGGAGGTTGAAGTAGACCCGTTCATCCAGACCGGTAAGAGGGGCGGAGAGAACGAGCCAGGCGGGTGCGGGTTGTGGCGCACGCGCGTGCGGAGGTCGGGGAGAACTTGGCGCAAACTCGGCGTGTGAGCCACCCGGGGCGCGCAAGAACGAAGTGGTGGACCCTGAGTACACAAGCAGCAGCTGGCGGACCCAGTGAGGCAGCGATTGTGGACCAGGGCAGAGCTCGCAACCCAGGATCCCAGAGAGGGGACTGAGATCCCAGGAGAGCGGAACTACTGCCATTGTTCCCTCCCATCCCCACTCCCGCCCCCACATATAACGTCACAATCTAGCGACTGGGATGCCCAGCCCCGGTGAACACCTAGGGCTCCACCCCTCACTGTAACAAGAGCGACCAGACCGGAAAAAAAAGGGAAAAAAAGGAGAGACAGGGAGAGACATGTTTCCAACAGAAGAACAGATCAGTTCCCCAGGACTCATCCTTTTGAGCGACCAAGAAATAGCCAATCTATCAGATGCACAGTTTAAAACACTGGTGATCAGAAAGCTCACGGAATTGGTTAATTTTGGGCGCAAATTAGATGAAAAAAATGCAGGTTACCATAAAAGAGATGAAGGAAGATACATGGAGGAGAGCCAATAGTGAAGGGAAGGAAACTGGGTCTCAAAACAATACAGTGGACCAGAAGGAAGACAGAAACAACCAAGCAGGAAAGCATGAAGAAATAATAATTCAAAAAAACAAGGAGAAGATTAGGAGCATCCAGGACATCTTTAAACGTTCCAACATCCAAATTATAGGGGTACCAGAAGGGGAAGGGGAAAAGCAACAGATTGAGCACGTATTTGAACAAATAATAAAGGAGAACTTCCCCATTCTGGCAAAGGAAATAGTCTTCCAAGAAATCCAGGAAGCTCAGAGAGCCCCAAAGAAGTTGGACCAAAGAAGAAACACACCAAGGCACATCATAATTACATTAGCCAAGGTAAAAACGAAGGAGAGAATCCTAGAAGCAGCAAGAGATAAGGGGACAGTAACCTACA